GAACTTGGTGGGAACAGAGGGCATTGGGTTTAGCAACCAGTGGGAGCAAGGAAGTGGAAGCATGAATGTAGACAGCTCTTCCAGAAGTTTGGATGGGAAGGAAGGGATCAAAGGGAGTGCTGGCTGGGAAGGGTAGAGGAGACCAGCTGGGTGAGACTCAAGCCAGTTTGCTAGGCAGGAGGCAGCCAAGAGAAGATGCAGGAGGAAGCAGAGGAGCATGAGATGCTTGCTGTAAGCACCTGCTGTAGTTTTTGTCTCTGCAGTAGCCCCAGAGAGGGCGCTGGAGCAGGTGGCCCTTCCTGAGGGGTGGTCCTTCCTGAGGGGTGGCCGTGGAGCTAGGGGAGGAGGCGGCGGCATGGTGGCAGTCCTCAGTCGTGCCCCTGCCCTGAGCTCTGTCAGGCTCCAGGGCCCCCACCCACACTGGGTATGAGAGGACCAGGGGCCCTCACCTGCACAGGCTTTGGACCTCCTAGGAGGCAGAGGCTCCACATACTCAAGAGTATCCTCGCAAACCAGGTTCCAGGTCAGTGAGGAAGCTCAGGGCTGGGCAGGGTTGGCCTCGTGTGGTTGTGTGTCTGTAGTGCTCCCCAAGGCGGCTTCATGGACACTTCAAGCAAGAAAGGCCTGGGAAGTTCAGGACATCAATTCACCTGCTTCCAAAGAGGCCACACCCAACCCCATCCCTGAGCCCAGCTCCCAGTAAGTGGGAAGTTCTTTCTCTGGATCTAGGCTGTCTCTCCTGCTGTGTGTTCCCTCTGGTGAACTTGTTCAACCCTGCTCTGTGGAACCAAGCTGATGAGCCGGCTGCTTTAAGTGGTAGCCAGTGTTTTTATAACTTGTTTTCATGAAGTTGGTCTGAAGTCTGCATTCCCAGAATGTCAGACCCGCCCTGATTCACAAGGATTGGCCACAGGATCAGAGCCAACAAGAGGAATCTGAGAACTTAGTCATCCTCCCTGGATCATCCACAGATTCTCCTTTCCTTGCAATGGAGAAACAAAGAAAGCTCAGATGGCTAAAACGAGTGTTCAGGTCAGGGCCGAGGCTCTGCACTCTGGTCTGTGCTCTGCTGGCCACAGGGGCACCTATAACAGCTCTGAGTCCTGGCGCCACAATTTCCTCATCTCTTAAGGGGGAAAATTAATGGCATCTACACGATAGCTATCTGAGGTTGGGTGATCTAGAAGCAGACCCTGAGACAAAGGTTTGTGTGAGTGATTTATTAGAAAGTTAAAAAAAAATTGCTAGTGGAATGGGAAAGTAGAACCAGAAAGAGAAGGAGAAACAGGAGTGGAGAGGAACTTGCCTCAGTCTGCAGAGGAGCTCTGGGGATGTGGGAGCCAGAGCTGTGGTGAGGGTGCTGGAGATCCAGACCCCTGCCCAGGTGGTCACTGGTATAGGGGGTGCCGAGGGGACGGCCATGACCTCAAGCAAAGGGATTCCAGCAGCCTGAGGCAGGCTGCCCGCACACCTCCACAGACTGGCTGTTGGGAGGGACCGTGCAGCCTGGTGTGCCCCAGAATTGTAAAGCGTCCCAGGGGACATGGGTGGAGCATGCCAGAGGCCTCTCCTGAGGATTAGTGTGTGGGTTACATGATGAATCCTTTGCAGTGCTGATCATGCAGAGCCTGGCCCATGGGGAGCACCAAGTGACAGCTCTTCTCACCTGTTAGAAAGGGGGATGCAAAAGGGGTGCCCCAGGAGTGTGTGGCCAGCAGAGGTGGCACCTGCAGAGAGCAGTCCTATGTTCCATCACCCCGGAGCCCCAGGGGTGGGTTCACACTGTCAGCTTCCCAAGGTTGAATCCCACAGAGCCCCCCAGCCAGGCCGAGCAGCCGCTGCCAGGGCTCTGCCCGATGACTTGGCTTGGGGCAGTCTCTTCAACCTCATAGGGCCCTCCTGGTGCCCTGCTGCAGCACCTTCTGGACGTGTCTGCCTCTGTGCCTCTCCCACCTCCAGCCCTCCCTGCACAGCCCACAAGGGATCTGGGATGAGCAGGGGATGGCACAGGGCCCCTGGGCAGAGGTTAGGCCAGGGCTGTGGAGGCACTATGCACCTCAGAGGAAATGGAAGCCCACCTGAATTTGAACCTGGCTTTTCTTCGCTCCCCATCCCACTGTGTCTGCTGGGCTTTTTCCATAGAAGGTGCTCAGGGATTGCTTGTGGAACTCGTGCTGCTTGGTGTGTCCCAGGAACAAGTAGAAGTTGTGCCTCCAGGGCTCTCTGATGACTTCATCTGGTGCTGTTAGCCTGCGTTGGCCCTAATGGAACCTGCTGCAACCCCTCTCCTGTGTATCACAAGGAATGTAACCTACAGTCTGGGCTCCCTGCTCAGGCCTTTGGGAGTCAAGCCCTGAAGAGCGTGACAGGCCTCAGTGCCACTCTAGAGTCTGTCAACTGCTGTGTGACCTTGTTCAGGTCAGCTCCCCTCTCTGAGCTTCAGTGCCTCGTGTTTCTAAAAACGTTTTGTATGTACCCACCTAAGATCAGGTGATTTCAGCATGGTGTTAATCTTCCAGAGAGGTGAAGTGATGTGCCCAAGATCACAGAGCAGAAGCATTGAGGCGAGAGGGCCAGGACCTCACCCCAGGGCTGGTTAGGAAGTGTCTTACCCTCTGTCAGCCCCGACTGATTTGGAACCTGAATCAGCCTCTCAGTACTTAGGATGAAGCAAGCTGGGTACCAGAGTGGTCGGTCCTGCTGCTTATCATTAGCTCATCTGGCAACCATTTATTGAGCGCCTGCAGTGTAAGGGGTTCTGTGCTCAGATGGGCAGGTCCTGCTTTCACAAGGCTTAGCACCTAGTACATTGCAAGGCTGTGCCCTATCCTGAGGCCTGGGATCCTGCAGACCCCAAGGGTAAGGATGGATATAGGGTGGTGGCCCCAGAGGAGGAAGTGGTCTGAAATGGCTAGGGCCCCTCCCAGACTAGGAGCAGGTAGGGAGTGGCTGGTCCAGGTGGTGGGTACAGGGGAAACAAATGCTCCCGGGTGTTTGCTGCTGCCTCGGTGGGTCCAGTGCTGGGCTAGGCTGGGAGTGAGACTGGGAGACGGCTCTGATCCACTCCCAGGGCCCTCCATGCCCTTTCCCCAGCTCTTACCCCCTTTGTTCACACGGGCTCTTGGTGCCTCTCAATACCATTAGACAGTGGCTTCTCCAGCAAAACCTCATCTACTGGGGCCTCAGGGTCTCTCCAGGCACACAGGAGAGAGCTCAGGAAATATGTGTTGATGATTGGATTTATGGTTGTCTAGACTGCTTTGGGAGTTAGAGTACGAATGCTGGCTCTGCCCCTTGTTCAGCTGTGCTCCTGAGCAAAGGGCCCAAACCCCCTTGAGCCTCTATTTTGCCATCCATAGATGTACTGCAGTGAGAAGAGAGAACAACAGAGAATTTCAGCCTCATACAAGGCTGTGGCCAGCCTACTTGGTAGATAGCATTACAATGGATGGACTCGGCTTGTGTCAGGGCAGGCAGGAAGCGTGAGAGCGGAGGGGTTGGACCCCCATCACACTGTTCAGCTCTTCATAGTTCACAAAACCCTGATACTTCCTGCTCACTGGGTTCTCCCAGCCATCGCACAAGGGAGTCTGGGCTGGTTGCTGTGTTCCCATCTGACAAATGAGGACGCAGAGCCTAGAGAGGAGGCGGACCTGGCCCAGAACCCAGGTCGCCTGGCTCCCAGGCTCCTGTCTCTCCTCGGCCCCCCCATCCTCCTCCAGAAGCTGGCTCCTACCCTCTGGAAGTTCTTTAGGAAAGATGCTAGGAAGGGTGGTGGGCAGGAAACATGGAGATTTGCCAGCCCAGATGTCAGGGGACCAAGCATGCATTCTGGAAGCTTTAGTCCAGGGGGTTGCTGTGACCTGCAGGCCCAGAGTAAGGGGGCAACAGGGATATGGGTAGAGGTGGGTTGAGTAGTGGTGCAGACAAGGAGAAAACCAGTGGAGGGAGGGATCATAGGTCATTGCGTCCATTCACTCAGCCTGATGACCAGGTGCATCAACTGGTACACGAGAGACTGGTGGTCCACCACCTCCTATCTCTGGGTCCCTTTGCCAATGGTGCTTGAATGAAAGGGACTTTAAGGAGCACCAGGTTTGTAGGAGATGCCAGTCAAGTCGAGGTCACAGCCCTTGAGGATATTTGAGTTGACTCTGGAAATAAGGCCCACGTCTAAGCACGAGGACCTTTCATGTGTAGAAAACTTTCTAACTGACAGACTTGGGAAGACGAGGGCTGGCTGGCAGCTCAGCCGATGTGCAGGGGGGGTGAAGGGGTCAACAACAGGGACCTGGGCCCCATAAAAGTGAGAGCTCATGGGAAGGGAGTAGACAGGGTGGCTGGGACCAGATTTGCAGGGGCCAGGACAAAAATACAAATACCTGAGAGAAATATTTGAAGGTTATAAAACAAACCAAGAAACTACTAAATAGCTAGATTTCCCCACCTTGACAAATATGTCTTCATAATGTAGATTGATATATACATGCAAAGTTGTGGTTTTATGCAACTGAAAGTGATGGAATAGCAAGGGAGACTGAATTTAATTATTAGTACCTGAGTGTTTTTGGGAGCTGGTGACATTTGGACAAGTAATAAGATGCACAATTCATGTATTATTATTTATTTCATAAAATACATTCTATTGTCATTTTAGCAAGATCACTATGACTATATTGTTATAATCAGGATTTTCACATCACTCGAAAATTTTGTCTTGGTGGTAGTATCTAAATGATCAAAAGTAAAATGCAGTTACATTTGAAGTTATAGAATTTGAATGTACTTCCCTCAAAAATATAAGTATATAAAAAGGAAAATTTATATTTTTCAAAAATTATTTTTGTTTCTTGAAATTAAAACTATGTTCATCAAAATGAACATCAGATTTTAAAATAAAATGATTTAAATAGAGATGAGGTATTATTCAAATTTTTGGAGATTTTATAAAGATGAAACTATCCATAGTTTAGTGTTTAATGCCCATCTAGTTGCCAGTGTAAAGAATTAGTATCACATTTGATGTTACATTAATTTGAGTAATATGAATTGTTAGATACTATAAGATGTTCCCTAGCTGCTGTGTGCACTTACTGTGAACACCACACTAATTCATGAGTACTTTTAGAGCCACAAGTTGGAACAGGGAGAAAGAAAAAAAGAAAAGGATGCTCAGCATTACTGGGAAGTGGATAGTTTGTTATACGAGAAGCTCTTGCTCCCTAAGAGGAAGGATTTGACAAGTTTAATGTGTCTGCCGCCTTAAACATTCTTGCCACTGAGTCACTGTCGTCCCTCACACCCCCAAGTAGTGTCTCTCACTCCCATCAGCAGTAGTGCAGCCCACAGACCTTCATCTGGACAGAACCACCTTTTGCTCTTCAAGCCTAAGAGATGGAGAAGAGTTTACTAAGGTCCGAGTGGTGTCAGGAGGGCGGATGAGGCATGTGGGTCCCATGGATGTCCTGTGGCAGAGGCTCCTGGATGCTCTCCAGTACACTGATTTGTGAGTGTGTGTGTGTGGTGTGTGGGGCTCAGGGCAGGGGCCCTTCTTCCCTGGGCCAAAGGGTGATAGGGATGGGATGAGATCTAATCGATGCCATCTCTATCACACAGTGAATGATAGATACATGGTGGAGCTCCTGCCGTGGCCGGAATTTAAATCCAGGCATGTGCATTCACTCATTCATTTCATTCTTACCTGCATTTGTTCATTGATTTAAAGCCTGTAGTCACTTCCTGCAGCCCTCCATCTCATTGTAGAACGCCAGGCCATTCCACAGCCGCAGTGCTGGCAGTCTCGTAGTGCAGCCCCATGATCCTACAGATGAGGGAATTGAGGCTCAGAGAAGGGCCCTGCTGTACCTAAGGTCACACAGCAGGAAAGTCCCTGGCCAGGTTTCACAAGTACAAAGGATGGGTGACCATCTTGAGTTTCAGGTAAAATCTGAATAGGTATTGCTATGTCCCGATCAGCTTCCCTTCCTTCATCAGACTTTGCTACTCCAGCCACCCGCCACAGGGCTCCGGGGAGATCCTGCAGGGGGTTTCTGCTTGAAGAGCCACTTCCTGTATGGGGACAAGCACTTCCTTCAAGTGACTCACAGGCTCCCACTGGCCTCGTGCTGGGAAGCCACAGTGGGGGTGGAGACAGGCTCGGCAGTGTCACCTGCTGCCTGTTACCCCAGCCAGGGGACTGTGAGACCAAGCAGTGCTACAGACGAGGTAGGAAGTGGAGTCAGAAGGAGGATGCCAGCCGGGCTGCTCTCACCTGCCTTGTGGTTGGGGCTCTGAGAGCAGGAAACGGGGACACGGTGGGCATGGGGACAACCTCCACCTCCAGCCATTTCTTACCCAGTGTCCCAGGTGGCTGCTGCCCAGGCTGGGGCTTGACAGCAGAGCTGGGACCTCTCAGGGAGAATTTGTGGCACTTTCTCTTCTTTATAGGACAGTGAGGTATGACGGAAAGAGCACTCAGCTGAAGTCATGAACTACTCAGCTGAAGTCATGAACTTGTATTTCTGGTACTTCCTTATGAACTTGTCAGCCCTCTGTCCTGCTTGGCCTCAACATTCATGTCTGGGGGAGGGCTTGCTGGCTGGGACAGTTTGTTTCATCTTGGTATTGCAGGATTTACATTAAGAAATTTGGGTTTGAGTTATGGCTCTGCCACCTTGCTGGGTATGTCTACCTCCCAGAGCCTCCATTCTAAGATTTGAAATAATAATAATCATTTTAAATGTTTTACATAATTTAGTCCTCATATCAACCCCATAGGACAGGTATTATTATTAGTAGTATTTTGTACGTAAGGAGAGGTACAGAGAGGTTAAGTGACTTGCCTAAGGCCACACAGTGAGAGCCAAGATTCTGACTTGGGTTTGACCCCAGTGCTCATACTGTTAACAGCTATGTTCTTGCGACTCAAATTTGTGGTCCCTGGACCTGAAGTGTCAGCATCACCTGAGACCTTGTCAGAAATAAAGAATGTCAGGTCCCAGCCTAGACTTTCTATGCCATACTACCTTTTAACAAGACATCAAGGTGATTGGTTTGCACATTGAAGTTTGGGAAGCCCTGTTCTATTTATAGTCCCTCCGTTACTTAGGCCTTGAGATCATTGTGAGAGCTGAAGAAAGTGTGTTTTGTAAACTGTGAGTGCAGTGTGTTCAGGGCACTGTGAGAAACCTAGGGACTGGAGCAGAGGGAGGCAGCCCTGGGGGTGCCCCAGGGGTCCATCTCTCAGTAGCTGGGTATTGTTTCCAAGCTCTCTGTAGCCCAGCTTTCTCCGCTTCTGGTGTGAGGCTAAGTCTGGCTGTGTCTCTTGTGTCTCTAGAGCCCAGCTGGGTTAGAGAGAGCTCTCACGTTGTCATGCTTGGGCTGGGCTCCACACCTGAGCCTCTGGGGCTGTGGGTCTGCAGGTTACCAGGAAGCCTCCATCCCAGCCTGGCTGTGCCTCTGCCTCTCTGGCTAACCTGGGCAGGTGTCTGGCCCGGCCATCCTCAGTGTCCGCTGGTGGGTGATGTGGCAGCATCCTCTGAAGCCCGCAGTGCTGACCCAGAGCCTCATCCCCTCTCCTTCTCTCCCCAGGGGCCTGTCAGTACAGTTTCTCCTCCCAGCTCCCGGACAGGAGGGCTGCCCTGCTGACTGCAGGAACTGCTGACGGGGGAGGCGGCGTGTGAGTCAGAAGTCAGCCACATAATTGCGGTGCCCCAGATCCCGTCTCCAGCCCACTAGCCTTCCCTCAGCGGCTGCCTGGGGAGAACAGCTGGTTTGGCAGCTACCTCTGGAGAAGCAGGTCCCCGGGCAGCACAGAAAGGCAAGCTACAAAGAGCAGCCCACCGGGTTCTAAAGCAATGTCTGCCTCTCCCATGGGGCAGCATTCTACAGTTCACACAAAAAGGCATGAAGAACAGGGTTATTGTCCTGCTTTATGGGCAAGAAAAACCTGAAGCTCTGAGTAGGGCTGTCTCTTGCTTACTTCAGTGTACCTGGTACTTATCCAAGCACCTTACGTTTTCATTTAATCCTCACAACAGCCCATAAGATTGGTGCTATTATTATCCCCACTCTGAGATACAGGAACCTGCTCAGTTACTAAGTGGTTAGATTGGCAGACTGGCTCTACTGAACACTCTCAATCCCTGTCTCTCTGGAGCCAAGTATTAAGCTAAGCTTCCTTGACCTCCACTTTAGGGGTTAAAGGGCTGCTTTTCCAGGGGAGATTTGTATTCTAAGAGAGAATCCTAGAGAAAGTGATGCTTCCACCAAAGGAATGAATAGCAAATGGTGGAACTGGAGGGCCTGAATCATGGAATTGGCATGAACCTCCAAGATATGCTGGGCCAGCCAACTCCTGGAACTTTTTTCTCAGCGTTCAAGCAAAGCCAGGTGTTTTTTTTGGTTATCAAAGGGAAACCTGGGCATTTGAAGAAAAGTTTAGGCCCCAGGTTCTCACACATGCCTGGAAGCCGAGGAGCTGCTGTCTTCCCAGAATGCCATGATGAAGAGAGATGAAAATGGCACTGAGGAAATCAGTGTTCTGTGAGTAATCTGAGGTCATCTTATACTAGATCAGCAACAGAAATGTATAAACAGATATCAGAGGTTTAAGAAAAAATTATGGGAGAAAATACTTAATTGAGACTTTTTTTAGTAACTTAATTTTTTTCTGTAAATTGGAAACAGGCTAATTATTATTCAGAGGCAAAATTAGGACCAGGCTTATAAGTGGCTCTGCATTTGTGTGGTTTAAGATGCTCTGATTGGTTCCTTCTTTCCTTCCTTTGCACATTTAACCAGTTTTTCTGACTGAGAAGTAAACGAGAGCCTCTCGGTGTCAGGCTCAGTGCAGGAACACAGGTCCTCTGCACAGTGACCCCTCTAGCAGGGATGAAACCTGAGGTTTCTCATACCCCCTTCACCCAGTGCAGGGCTGCAGACTCTGTGACAATCCAGAAATGCTTGGCCAAATAGAGCAACAATCCCCGCTTAGGGAAGCTCTCAGTCTGGTGGGCAGGGCAGCCACAGAAGCAGGTTACTGCAGCGCACAGAGGCCTGGGACCGTGTCCCACCAGATGATGTGAGCACAAAGGGAGGAGGCAGTGGGCCCTTGTGGGGGATCAGACCAAGCTCTGTACAGGATCCATTTGTTGGTGGATGGGATTTGGAGTGGGAGGAATGGAGAGGGCTTTCCTGGCAAAGGGCCCAGCAATAGCAAAGGCATGGAGGTGGGAAGGCTGGTGTGATGTGGTGTGTTTGGAGCACAGCGGTGTGACAAGGGGCAGGTGGAGGAGAGGCTAGGCAGGTAGGTGGAGGGGAAGGAAGGTAGAGAAAGGTTCCGTAAATGGTAGGATTTGTTTCTCTTCCCATTTGCAGGGCCTGCTTGGGAAACCTGTTTGTATAATATCTCTGCTATTTTACATAAACAAATAAAATAAATTATTGCTTTCCATTCCCTCAGGACAAAAACTGGGCAGACACAAGTTTGCTCCATGCCAGTCTCTGCCAGACTTGGCTTCCTCCATCTCCTCCTATTTGGGCCTCTCCCCCTATCCTCCAACGCCCTTTCTCTGAGACCCAGGGAGAGGCATCAGAAAAAGCCAGCCTGGTGCCTGTGACTGAATCACTGGGCCCGTGGGAAGGGCTGGGCGTCACCGAGGCTGAGAGGATGGTGGAAATCTCCCTCACCAGACCCCTGGGCTGGTCCTTGAGGCCCAGCCAGAGGCCCTGGAGGCATTTGCTCACTCTGCTGGCTCCAGGGAGAACCTGTCAGTGCCAATGCAGAAGGCAGACAGGCCATTCCTCTCAGTCCTGGTGGCTTAAAAAGGGAACCAGGGAACTGCTCGGCCCTCCAGGGAGGGAGGGGCCCATCACATGGAGTATGGAAGCCTGTGCAGGCCTCTCTGCTAGGGACCCACCACTAGGAGCTGTACAGGGGATTTCTGCCTGGGAAGGGTGGCCGCATGGAATGGTGCCCAGACCTGCCTTGTGCTGACATTTGATGGCTTTAATAGTCTGAAATCCAGAGGTAGTTCTAAGATCCCTGTTGGGTTGCACCACGATTCCATGATTGGATGAGTCTTTGCTGAGGTGATTCTAAGACTGTCATTTAGAGAATTTGCAGCTGGAGATTTTGAGTTCTGACCTGCTAACTGCTCTCTGGGCAAAGCCAGGTCACTCCTGGTGATACTCAGCCCACTCTCCTAACCCTGACTTGGGGAAGTGAGGTCTTTTCTGTGCCAAGAGAACCATGACAGGGTGCTGACCCTGGCTCCTCTCCAGCCTATAGCCCCAAACGTATCCCACACATGTAGATCTGTCCCCCTAGGGCCTTAACCAAGGGTGTGACCCATCCTGACCTCCAACTCCACCTCCTCGCCTCCTCATCCATAAAATGGAGATCTAGGACTTCCCTGCAGAGTTGGTGAGATGCTTCAATGAGACAGCGTGTTTATGCTGAGAAGCGCTGTGCATGTGGTCAGAATTGTAGCTGCTGCTTCTGCAGTGAGGTTGTTTCCTTGAAAGGAAGTCCATGGCTGATTCTCTGTGAGTCTCTTTTAGGTCCCAGCAGTGCATGGCACATACTGGTGGCTTCTGAACATGTACTGAGTGAGCTCTGTAGCCTCAGATATGGGACAAATAGGCCCAGAGGGTCATAGTTCTAAGGAAGCCAACCATTCCCAAAGGAGAAGCAGCCAGGACAGGTGGAAGAACTGGAGAACCCACAGCTGGGCCAAAGCAAGCGTACATGGAAGATGAGTCTGTCTTGGCCTGCTCCAGGAGGAAGAGAAATCAGAGGTCCCTTGGGACAGAAGTGTTGGATAAACAGGAGGCCCTGGCATCACTGAGGAAGAGGTTGATAATGACCCTAATTATGGCATGATTGATTCTCTGAGGGCACTGCTGAGCCCCAGCCTCTAAGCTTTACCCCAGAGAATGAGTGGGCATTACGGGGCCTGTGGCTGCTGGCCCACCTTGTCTTTTTGCTTCTAAAGCCTCCCTCCTGCAACTCCTCCCCAGCCTCTCTCCTCACTGGCAGCTGTCTCAGCAACAGACTTCCTTCCTGCCCCATATCTGGCTACCTTCTCTGCTGATTTCTTTAAATCTGGAGCTTTCTCTGAGGTTCAGAGAAGTGGGACAACCTGCCCAGTGCCACACAGTGAAATGGTGGCAGCCCAGATCTTGCAGTTCTAGCCACCTGAGGCCGGGGCTGCGGGAAATGCAGTAAATCTGTGAGCACTTTGCCAAAGCTACCTGCAGAAGGCTGTGCTGAGAGCAGTGAGGGGCGCTTGGGAATGGTCAGTCGAGAGTGAGAGAGGTCCCATTATCAGCCCTGTCCCCTACCTCCAGCCCTAGCCCTGCGGCCAGGGATTTGTCTTGTGGATTTGGGTTTGGTTGTTTATTTGGGGAAATAGCCCAGATGATGAGCTGTCTGGAGTGCCCTGCTGCTCCTAACCCTTAGAGGGCAGGGAGTCTCCAGTTGGCAAAAGACCCCACCATTACCACCAGATGGAACCCACTGGGGCTTAACTTGCTGGCCGAAGTCTGGAGACGCCCTCTGCCCTGTGAGAGGTCCTGCTCACTGCTCCCAGGTTTTCCCCATGCTGTTGGCTTATCCAGAGTCCCCTTCTTCCCCTCTGTGCTACAGATCGTCCCTTATTTCTGTACTCCACATGATCTGCCCTCTCCAGGAAGCAGTCCTGCAGTGATTGGTGCTGGGACCCAGCAAGCAGAGGAATTGTGGGATGCAGAAGCGACCCTGAACCAGGCAGGGAGGGTCTCCTGGAGGAGGGGCTACTGAGCTGAGACCAGGAGGAGCCTTCCAGGGCCAGAGGATGGGCAGAGGGAGCAGAGCTAAGGCGGTGAGACAAGCGCACCAGCCTTGGAAACAGGAGCTGGGCAAGGCAGGGGAGGCCCTGGTCTACCTCCAGTGCGTGTCCCCAACACTGCAGGAGTCGGCATGACCCTGTGCCTTTTACCTCGGGGGTTTTTAAAACCTCTCCGGGACTTTGGGGGTCGTCACTGTGAATCATCCACGCGGTGCTTGGTCCCTGTCAGAGATGGTGGGAGCACCTAGGAGGGTGGGGCTCAGGATAACTGGGCTGCTGTGTCACAAGCCTCCCTACAGCTTCCAGCCCTGTTTTGACTGCTCTGGTCAGGCAGGGCTCAGGACTCCCAGCTGCTAGTCTTGGTCACGTAGTGGGCTCTTGCCCTCAGACTAAGCAAGGTCCATGGAATTTGTTCTTCCCTTCTCCCTGTGCTGCCGCATCTCTGCTTTTCTCCTGGGGATGAGGAGAGAACAGGTGGCTAAAGGGCTTTAGAAGCTGAGTGTCAGAAAAGCCCTTGGAGGTCATCCGGTGGTGTTCCAGCCCTCCCACAATATGCACGGGAAAGCTGAGGCCAGAGGCATGTGGGGGGCACCCAGGCTGCTGGTGGCAAAACTGAGCCTCAGCCCTGGAGATGGGCTTCAATTGAGGCCCAGTGAAGGCTGCCGTGGTCCAGGAGAAGGGGATGGCTGCTCTGCACGTGTGCCCTGCCTCCTCTAGGGCGCTGGCAGGCTGCTGGAGAGGGCCAGGCCTCTGCCTCCCCCAGCCCTGGGCCCATCGAGGATTTCCCTTTTTCTCCTCTTGGGCTCTCGTCCCCACTCTGTGCCCCTGCTTCCCAGGCCAACCAAAATATTGAGCTTGTCCCTTTGAAGTGCAATTTGCAGTCACACGGGTGCTGTGGCTAGCGCAGATGTGGAAAGCAGCAGAAATGTGGACAGATCCTCCCTCTGGGGTTGGTACAGCAGAAAGCCCGTCTTTAGGGTTGGCGCCC